AAGCTACTCTAGGCTTCCTCTCTTCATTGCACAAATATTTGCAAAATAATTCCTTCACACTTGAAAACAGAGAGGTCGCCTCACCAAAATGTGCTCTTCGTTTCTTCTTTAGTGGTAAACACAAAGGTCTAGGAAAACATTGGTTTGATATGAGTCATCCAAAGAAGCCACATTTTCTTTGTGGAATTTCGGAGGCTGAATGAGAGGTGTAAGTTATCGCTCAGCAGTGAACGATAACAAGAGTTTTTATACCTGCACTGTCAAAAGAGCCATTAGATCTTTTGTTCCTGATGCTTCTTCCTCCCATAGCACTTTATAACCATCTGACAATTCAACATACACCTTTTATTCAATCCGTATGGTGCCCACGCTTTAAAAAAACACATATAGAAGGTCACATCCTGCTGCTTAGTGTGCTGCTCTAAGTCCAATTACATGGAATTACCTTAAGTTTACACCGGAGAAAATGAGAGGATAGTCTGTCACAGCATCTCTGCCAAGCTGCCAGGTTAGTTGAATTACTATCTGTACCCCTTGCATGTATTTCAGGTAAGCACTGGTTTACTGGGCATTTGAAGGCAGTAATGGAAGAGGCCTGCAAGGTGGGGTCCCTTCAGCACTTGGAGCAGAAGCTCCTCATTGGTGGCACATCCCTTGGTGCAGTGCTGTGGCCTTTCTCCAGTCCAAACCCATGCTGTGTCCTGGGATCATGGAGCACCTGAAAGGCTGTTTGCCTCATGCTGCAAAATGCAAAGCCTTCCTGTGGGGGGGCATGAGGCAAGAGGCATGTATGGGACACTAATGCTTGGAGCAGGTACTGGAGAAGGGAACACTCAGGATTCGTAGGAAGGGAGACTGGTTGGATTTAAAGAGAACCTGTTAAGGCCTGGTAAAGAAAATGATTTAAGGCTTGCCTCAGTTAAGGCAAGTAAGGGCAGAAAATGGCTTTAAACTGAAAGAGAGTAGATTTAGATTAGATCTTCAGAAGTTTTTCTCTGTGAGGCTGGTGAGGCACTGGCACAGGTCGTCCAGAGAAGCTGTGGCTGCCCCATCCCTGGCAGTGTTCAAGGCCAGGCTGGACAGGGCTTGGAGCAACCTGGTCTAGTGGAAGGTGTCCCTGCCCATGGCAGGGGTTGGAACTGGATGAGCTTTATGGTCATTTCCACCCCAAATCATTCCATGATTCTATGACCCCATGATCCCATCCACAAAGCAATTACAAAGGAACAAAGACTCAAGCACTTCACAAGGAAACACTGTTGTGGATCGTAACTATATACACAACACTGACGCTTCCAGAGCCTTAAAAATAAGGACCACTGGTTGTTCTGGTAAAGTGGGGGCTGAAGCTCTCATGATCCCTTGTGTTATCCTTGCCCCCAAAGCCAAGACTAAATCCAGCACATGCTCCCATACAGCAGATAGAGTGGCCTTACTTCATTAGGGTTGCTGTTCTCATGAGCTCAGCCTTCTTTCCTCCCTCCCTTGAGTGAACGAAGTTGAATAAGAAAATCTGGAGAAAAAGTCAGCTTGAAATCTTTGAGTTTAATTTGGCTTTAGGTCAAAGCCAGAAAGGGATGAATAATATTTTATTTAGCAGATACAGCTTTTTCTTTTCTTTTTTTTTTCTTTTCAATTGTTTTTTACTTCTTCACAGCAGACTAATGGGTCCTATTGAAGAAGTCTCATGGCTGATCAAAACTTTGAAAATACATGTGGAATTTTTTCTATACTAGTTAAAAACGACGATTTTTTGTTGTTGTTGTTCAAAACCCTTAAATCTTGCTTCAGAAGCATCTTTCTCTGACTGGACTACATTTCTTCTCAAGGGGAAAGTTAGACTTTAAACTTCTAACCAAGTCCAGTTACAGATTTTCCCCACAGCAATCTGGGTTTTGTACAAATATTGCAAACCTGATTAAACCTGTGCAGAATTTGGCGTTTCTAATTATTCCCTAAACAAAAAAGTGTTCAATTTCTGAGAGTTTTTCATCTGTTGCATCATGATAGACAATGGAAAGGTGACTCTTTCCCACAACAATGGAAAATAAAGCAAAGATGCAAACAAAGCCTTTATTCAGATCAATCTTCCAGGAAACCAAGATGATTTCCATCATTTTTATGACTCTTCCCTGGAGGAAAAAGACATCTAATTACCAAATCCCACTATAAGTTTGCTCCGATTTGACACAAAGTGAATGTGACAAGCGGAGCTTTACATTTCCAGTTAGCAGCTTGGGCTGATAAAGCCAAGTTCAAATGGTTTTTGGAGATCTTTAGAGTAAAAATATATAGTGTGAGCTGGTTCAGGTAAAAATGTGAATTTATAACATTCCAGTCAGTGTTATCTGATGGCAATGTCACAGCAGCCCTATATGAATGTGCACTCACAGTTCCAGCAACAAAGCCTTCCAGTCAATTTGAGAGGGTCCTTACATTTGAAAATTACAATGCTCTGAGGATGAGCTGAATTACACAAAGTAGAATCAAACCTTGCTTCATCATGAAGAAAGAGGGCATGAGTAAAATAAATATTAAGCATGGAGTTAATTAGTAAATGCTGGTAATTAATCATGCATTACTGTTAATGATGTGTAGGAATCCTTAGAGGTAGGAGATGAACCTTCAGGAAAGAAAACTGTGTAGCCTAAATGAGGTGATGTCCCCATTGCTAAAATCAGTGAGTGTTGACCTGTGAGGTTGTTTTGGCTTTTGTTGTCTTTGTTGGAAAATAAGACTAGCAGTGTTTCCTCCCACTCTGATTTAGCATTCAGACTGCATTTATGGGGCAAGCAGGAGCTGACCAAGGGGTTGATGGGCTGTTGATGCTGTGCAGGCTGGTGCTAAAGGAGTCCATAAATACGTAAGTTCAAACCTTTCCAAAACTCTGCCATTGATGGACCAACTGAACTTCTAAGTATTGTTCCAGCAGCTACAGAATACTGCACTGAGAGAGAACTACCGTATTTTCTAAACTGCAGTAGAACTTTGAAACAACTGCTCAGCATGTCTAAAAAAATCGAGTTATCCATTCTAGACCACAGAAAAAACAGCAATTTTTGCTGCAAAAGCTCCATAATCTGTGTCTACAAAGCTTCTATGCTTCTCAGCTGTGCTGTGGGTCAGGTAGCCGTGTCCTGCAGACACAACTGTAGAAAGTGGTTAGATGACAGGGAACTTCGGAAAACTCCTTGCAGAAGTCAGTGACAATAGGCAAAACTCCTTCCTTGGCGAAATATCTAAAGTTTCACACTCTGCGAAGTTCATTTTGAACAAGTTTCCTATGCCAAAAGATCTTGTGACTGCACAGGTGAGAGATCCCACTACACTCATGATAAACCCTGCACACACTACTATGGCCAAGTACCATCTTGTTGGCTTGACTCTCTAAGCAGCTGCCCAAAAGGACACAGAGCAAGGAGTTAACACTGCCTGAAGTGGAATTGCTCTCAGTGCTTTTGTTCCTTTCCAGAATGTGACCTTGCATATTTTTTTCAGACAAATAGTAGTGTTTGCAGAAGTCCTGCCTGTCTCCCCTGTGCTGACAGATTGCTGGAAGCTTCATCATGGCTGAATGAAGGAACTGTTAAAATTCATCTGCCTGCCAGTCTATTAAGAGTACGGGGAAATGTGCCTAAGAAGAAAGCACAGAGTAGCCTAAGAAGGAGAGGAACAGCCAGCAGAGACCTCCTGTAAAACAGCAAAGCTGTGTTTGCTCCCTGCCAACGCTCATTCTCCAACATCTTTCAACCAAGCAACATCTCCCCACCCAAAGCCGCCCATAGGTTTCACCTGGCACCTCTTGCTAAGGGATTTTCTGCTGGGCAAATTCACGGTTAGTTGGCCTGGGAATTTAAGAGAGATAAAAGGAGGAAGGTGTCCATGCACACAACTATATCTACTTCTCTTAAAAACATCAGACTGTTCACCCAGTTTGGTGAAGAAACTCCAGTTCAGAATGATTCATTCACAACGCTGCTTCTCTGGAACTTCATGGAAGACTTAGGATTTCACTTTTAGCAAGTTCTTAGAGCTGTTTTTCACATCCACAGAAGTTTTCCACACCTATATTGCCATGCCACACCTGCAAACGTGCTGAGTTCAAGTCCACCAAAACTACTCAGAGTGGCTTAAATGTCCCACGATCAAATACGTCTTACTTGGTTTGCACCTGGTTTACAGTCTCTGTGGTACAGTGAGGCTGCAAATTCAAACTTCAATTGGCAGGTCTGAAACTTGGGGGTCCTGGTGCACAGTGATTTTGTCAGAGCACAACTGAGCTATAACGACCGATTTTGTCAGAGCACTGTTTCATGATAACGCAGTGGGAGCTGGCCATGCGGTATATAATTGCAGACATATCTGTGGCAACCTTCACCTTCATATCTAGGCACATATTTTATCCACAGAATATTCCCAGAAGTGTGATGGGTGTTTATAAAGCTCACAGATAAGTCCTAGTTTTTCTCTGCCAAACAGATAACAAATGTGCAAACAGTATTTTTGTCACGTCAGTCAAAAGATATCTAAAAGCAGAATTTCCTAACCCTGCCTCCCTGGAGAAAATGATGGCGCACAAACTAATGTTGTAAAATACATCATCTAAGATAATACAGGAATTAATTAAAATTTTGCCATTCAAAAGAACCTAAATTCTTGTAAGTGAGAATACTTGGATAGGTATCCAAAATAAGCTTGTATCTGCTCTGCTATCTCACCTTTCTGACAAGTATCTACATAATACATATAGTAACGATATACTCCATCGCATGCAGAAAAAAGTGTTATGAACTTGTCTTTCTTGAACTACGTATAAATGTGCATCCATAATATACCTGAATAGGTGCCAAACGTGCCATCACCAGTTCTGTGGAAATATGTGCTGAGATGGCCATTATCTGCCAACCATACACCCTGGAGAAATGAGGCCAGGCTGCAAAAGCCTTCTGACTACTCAGACCAGAATGATTTTCTAACAGATAAGAGGGAATTTGCCTTACCTGTCTGTGCTGCTGAGAGACTGGATACTGCAAACCTGAGATTTGCTGGCTTTGCTGCATTTTCTGAAGCATCATTTTTTGCTGCAGTGCTAGGGGTACATTAGGTGGCCTTTGAAGAGACTGGTTCGGGAGAGGCTGAGCAGGTTGCTGCTGTGGCTGTTGTTGCTGCTGTTGCTGTGGCTGTTGCACAGGGGCTGAACCCTGTGCCTGCTGAGTGTAGTGCAGAAGGGCAGGCTTGTTTTGGGAACCCAAAACTGAAGGCATCTGCTGGTTTGTTTGCTCTGAGTTAAAGTGAAACAAAGGCTTTGTGTTGCCATGATGCTGCTCTAGTGGTGGCTGAGTGCTGTTAATAAAGTTCCTGTTGAGGTCCTGAGGCTTCTGTTGCATGATTATGTCCATGGGATTGCTCTGGGGAGTGGTTGGTTTATAAACATAGTTGTTCATCCCTTTCGACTGGTTTCCATTCACTGGTACCCCAAGCATTGCTGAGCTTTGTGGGCTGAACTGCTGCTGGCGAAAAGAAGGACTGGGGATTTTCTCTTGCATGAAGGGTCCAGGGGAAGGTCCTGATGGAGACAGAGTGGACCAGTTGGCTGTCTGGTTCTGCTGCTGCTGCTGCTGCTGCTGAATCAAGGCATGCTGCTGCCGGTTGGCTGCAATCTGTTTGAGCTGCTGTGCATGAGAGACCTCCTGCCAGTTAGGCAATGGCCGACCGGATGCAGAAGAAACCTGCGATACCTGTGTTTGACTCTGAGGCACCGAAGGGATGGGTGAAGAAGTGGACATGGCAGTGGTGGCCATAGTGAAGGCTGGACCTGTAGAAGAAGGCCTCATCTGTGGGGAGCCCACAGGAGCCTGATTCATGCCTGGTGCATATTCACTTTTTATCACCATCTTATCCATCTGCAGAGATCTCACAGGGCCCCTCTGGTTCTGCTGCCCAAGGTCAATGTTGAATGGCTCGTCTTGTTTTATGGTGGCGTTTATCATATTCTCTAGCTCAAGATCACTCATTGGTGGCACTGATATGTTAGTCAGTTCATTAAATAGCTCCTGAAGCTCCAGATCCATCATTTGTTCCCACGAGTCTTCCCCATATCTGTTAGGGAACATGTTCTCATGGGATGTCTGTCCATCTAAGTGTTTGCTGCAGGACATCGTTTCTCCTGGTTCTTTCTTTACCTCTTTTAAAGTCATATTAAACATGCCATTCCCACTCACATGTGTACTGTTTGCTAGGTTGTTAGACTTTCTTTGTGATCCTTGCCCCACAGACATAGTTCCTGACATTGACTGGCTTTGGCAATTGTTAACATGTTGTCCACTTTGTCCCACTGAGACATTATCACCCACTCTTATCCTTTTAATGTCAAGGAAGGAGCTCTCTGAAACACCATTGGGCCTCTTGTTGTTGACAGGTGACAGATTTACCACCAACTTTCTCTTCAAGGAGCCTTGGAGCTGAAAGAAGCAGAGAAAATAAAATAATAAGATGACACTGAAGAAATAATCTGTAGTCTGTTTGCTAGAAGACAACAGGAAAGTAAGCACTGCATAGTACACAAAGCTATTCTGGGCTTTCTCAGTCAATGAAACTATGCAGAACTGTAGGAAAATATGTTGTGAGACGTCTCCCTGCAACCACCACCCCGTCCTTGTAGACACCAGCATTTTTCAAGCACTTCTGCCTACTGTTGAACACAGACCCTGTTTCCCCCATGGGAGTGCATGTAGGGAGGTGGCCAGAGTTGTAGCTGGCAAAGCCTAGGGCATATCTGCCCTAGATTTGCTCCCATGTAACTGTGTCAGATAGATCAAAAGTATTTTTAGACAGCAGAGATTAATGCACTCATGAAATCCGCACTTGTGCCTATCCAGTGTTGCAGAATTACACTCTGACGACCCAAAAGACCATTTTGGACTGCTGTTGAGTCCGAAGGTCCTAGGACACATTTTAATGGCACACGCAAGATCCAGACATCCCCATCTGACACAGCTCTGTACTGGACCAGAGATGTATATAGTTAAAGATGCTAGATGTCAGCATGTTGAAAACTGAAAATGAAGCCACTGGAACCATATCAGGCTATGTCAGCCAAGGGTCTGGCCCATGATATATTGCTGGATTATTTTTCAGAGACGTATATTAATACGTTAAGCCCTAATTGTTTATGTCTTGAAACATCTGCTATAAAACCACACAGTCCATGCAACACTGCTCTGAGAACTGTAACCCTATTTCCTTTTCCTTGAACACTTAGAGCACTAGTTTCATCTGCTCACAGGCCCTGCGGACCTTCTGAAGGAAAAGAGGTTCATGGCTCTGGTCCACTCGATCCACACTGATCTGCCACGGTTGAGCACACAAATTCACACTCCCCACACACATAATGAAGATGTAGTCCCGTGAGCTGAACAGTTTGGTGCATATGCTCTCAAGCAGGGTGTAGACACAAGTGGAGATGCTCTGAACATGGCTCACAAAAGAATAGATTGCTTTTAAGCAAACACAGCAATCACATCTTTACAGCACGTTAGAGGTGTGCGCAGCAAGCAGGGAACACAACGCAGCCCTCGCTCAGTCGGTACACACGCCATCGCTGTTTCAGCCGTGAGCAACGACAGGGAGCTGCAGGAAACACAGCTCATCTCCTGCCTTTGTGCACCCGGGCAGGAGCGCACCAGCCTCAGAGGCAGCAGGGCAGGACATCTGACATCACCTTGGGAGGTGGTTGGTGATGGGCAGAGGGAACGCTGAGAACTCTAATTTTCCAGTCAAGTGAGCAAGGATGACTTATGAGATCTTCCCATCACATTATCTGTATCATGCTGTTTTGTGTGCAGAAGTTCATACCTCATACTCTGCTGTGGCCTCTATTGCCCTCAACTTCAGGCTTATCTTTCTGGGCTCTTCCCAGAAAACTCCAAGTGTGGATACTTTTATTCTGGTGTGAATACCAGTGAGTTGCTTGCAAAGAGCTCAACTGACAACTACATATTTCCTCCGTACCCACTTACCCTTCCATTGCATCAGTAGGTCACTGAGTTTAGCCCTTAAAAATAAAGCTTATAATTTCTCTCTCCAACACTGAAAATCTCATATCTCAAGTTAAGTTTCCAGCATAACTTTTGAATCACAGATTGATGTTTTCATTTCAGAAGGACAGACATGTTGGTGCCTAGTTGTACAAGTCCACAGACCTTGTGCCTTCAAGAGCCATTAATTGTCATTAGGTGTGCCCCAGGGGAAGAGATTTGGGTGGTCACTTGCAAGGAGCACGGACTGTCTTTGGTTATCGTGTTCCTTCTGACACATGAGTCACTGTACTTTCCTTTGCAAAAAAAAAAACCCACAGAAGCTGCACTTCCTTTTACCATCATCTTTGCTGCCAGTGTTTATTAGAAATCATTCTCATGCCCCCAAATTCATCTTCCTGGGAAATAGGGAAGTCCCCAGGTCATCAGAATACATGACTTGGCAGCGCATTTTGCTTTCAGATGTGCTGCTGACAGGAAGGCTGAACAGGTAATGAATAATGTATCCTCTGCATACATACATGCTTTATGTGGTTAATATGCATTTCTGAGTTAATTTTGCTTTTGTTTGACATTTTGAAGCAGAGGGAGCTGTTTAAAATGTTTTCATGTTTTCAGAGCACCTGCACCAGGCTTTCTGATACAATCACAAACGTGGGTATTACACTGCGCCGTGCTTGGTAGCTGCTTCTCATCTTCAGCTGAACTAGCTGCTAGCAGATAGGAGCTGTGAAGTGGTTTGCCTGCTGACACGCACAAGTCAGCAGCAGAGCCAGAGAGAGCACCACCATCTCCAGACACATCCCTTAACCAAGTGCTCCCTCCCTCGATATGGGCTGGAGGACTCCTGGTTTCATGACATCTGTTCTGCTACTGTGCCACAAAAAAAGGGCACCATGCATTGCTAAAGAAGAAGTAACAAGTGCTGGCTTATCACACCTCCCCAAAACCTTGCAAACACTGCCCTCTGAATGCTGACAATACCTTGGTCAAGAGATGCCCCCCATTTAAAGCAGAAATAAGGCTGCAAAGGTGAAAGGGACTCTCAGGGGACTTCACTGAGTCTGCTGGAGAGGTTCGGCTTTCACATCCCCCACCAGTTTGGGATGTGGAGGGCAAGGGCATGGGAAGGATGTGAGCAGCCTCAGGGATGAAGCTCCCTCTCCCCCCTTGCACTGAGCTGTTAGCAGTTATGCAATATTTAAGACCAGGCTGGATGTGGTTCTCGGCAATCTGATCTAGATGAAGATGTCTCTGCTCATTGCATGGCGGTTGGACTCGATGAGCTTTGAAGGTCCCTTCCAACCTAAACTATTCTATGATTCTCTGATTCTCTGTGCTTGTTCAGCGAGATGAGCAGTCTCCATCACAAGTCCCTCTGTCTTGCTGTTTTATCTGTTTTCAGAAGGGAAGGGAGCAAGGTTCATTACTCAAATCTCTGCAGTTTTCTAGCAATCACTTTTTTCAACTCCTGCTTGCAAGTCAGTGCTCAAGCCCTTTTCCCCCAAGCGAAACACAGGCACTTCAGAGGGTAAAACCAGACCTTGCCAGATTTCAAGCTCCATCTCTTCCACTTTGCAAGTGAGGATTGATTTGTGTCAGTAAACATAAAAACAAAGTTCCTCTAACACAGAGGCACATTCCTCAGATCAAACAGGCTGGTGATTACACATCTCAAACTGCTTAAACCGCGCAATACTGAAAGGCTCTGTGATGGGAAATGAGTGACATGACAGTAAGCAGGAGAGGAGGAAGCTCCCCATGCAAAGCTCCATCCCACAGGTAGGTGGGCAGCACTGCATGAACCATCAAAGAGGACACGCGTTTCCTGGCAGCCTGTGTTATTGTAAGACCTGATAAGCCTGATGCTGAGCAGGACGTTAACAGCAGAGGGCAAAACTCTAGAGATGACTTAGTCTGAACAACCCAGGGTGCACCATGTCCTGTGCAGAGGGGCAATTAGTTTCTATTTAAAACTTATTCTGAGTCTTTAAAGGGATTTAAGAATGGCAGCTTCTTTAACGCTCCCTGACACCAGGCCGAACCAGCAGGAGCCCCACTGAGCTAATAACTGGGGCTTACTGAAATCTGGTATCAGATAATTCCTCTGAAAAACAAAACCCAAAACCCAAGCAAACCACCTTTCTTTTGGTTGTCATTTCTTACTAAATGTAAAATTAGTGGATTTTGCTGAATATTGATTTTTCTCTCTGGCTCAGAAGTTTTTTTCAGAAGAAACAAAAACTTCTTTGGTGCAAAAGCAATTTCTCAGTGAGAAATGTTACAGATTGTTTTCTCCAAAATATCCGTATTTAACAATATTTTTATCACATCTTTGATCCAGTTCTGACATTACCCATCGCCTTGTATTCCTTTCCACAGGGAGTGTACATCGTGGCCAAGAAAAGAATTTGGCCGTGGCAGCAGGAAACGATAAGGACTTTCTGGCTCACTTTCACTGAAAGTCTTATTTTTTGTGTGCTTCATGCAGCCTCTTCACTTGGACTTCCTTTTGAATTTGCTTTTTATTTCATTTAATGATGTGTAGTAGGAGAAGAGTGCTTGACGTAAGTCGTAGGTTAAGCATGCAGCAGGCTTGATTTTCACAGCTCATGGGACAAGCAAAAGACAGCCTGTCCCTCTGACTTGCCCAAGTACCTCCATAGTGCCTGCAGATCCAAAAATACTCATTTCCCAGTGCAAGCCATTGTACAAGCAGCACCATCTGACTGTCATCTCGCGTGTTTATAGCAAGACACTTAAGACTGGACCAAAACACCAAAATACTCAAAGTAAAAAACACAGAAAATATCAGTGTGATAGTTTTAAGTCTCCACTAATCCTCATTAGCTGAAGACACAAAAGGAAGATCTATCACCTTTGTTCTCCCATCTCTCTTATTTTCTGACTAAGGTTTGTAGCTTTCTTAGCTCGTTTGGTGGAACAACAGCGACAAAACTCATAATGTGCTGTTAACTTAAACTCCAAGCGATGATCACACTTCATGAAGCAAGCAGCACGGCAGCGTTAGCAGCTCATGTGGAGTAATATTTCTGATGTTAAAAAAGCAGCTTTGGATTTTTATGCTTTTAATATAGAAGCAGCAGACAAATCCACTGTAAAAGGTCCCTTTTGCACTTCCTAGACTTTCTCACAGTATGTGCTGACTGTATCTATAGCTGCACTGTAAACACAATCCTTCGTGTATCTGGGGAGGGGAAGGAGTAAAGGAATTACATGAAAAATACAGAAAGTATTCAAACAATAGAAGTGGCCAAAAAAAGAGAAAGAATTCATTCCAAAGGAGGAAACATGCTGAACACTGCTCCTATTTATGCTGTGAAAGCACCTTTGCATCCTGGGGCTGGACCCAGCGAGCCACCCCTGGGACTCAGGGCCTGATCCTGAATAACAGTAGCTCTCAT